TGAAAAAGAGTCATACCCAATAGTTCACGCGTGTGAAAGACTGGAATACCTACTATTACGACCTCAGGGTTTCCGTCCCTATTGTGATCATAGAAACATTATCTACTTGTTCAGCCCCAGCCAAGAGTTGAAGAAGCATGTTCGCGGCAAATTACTGAGATGGTCTACAAAACTTTTGGAGTATCGGTATACTATTGATCATATTGCGGGTGTTCACAATGTTTAGGCCGACTTAATTTCAAGATGGGGTGGTGGAGCTCAACCAGCAGCGCATATACACTCAGCAAAACGATTTACACGCTCAAAACAGAAACGTGGTGAACCTATTAACAATGCATCGACTTTGGAAAGGCGACTACGTCCTCTCGATGATGAAAGTTTTGTGTGGCCTACTCTTGAAGAGATTGGATGTGAACAAGCCCTGCATACTTCTCCAGCGGGTGCACCTCTTAGTAGTGATGACTGGTGGATTATGGATGGCAAAATATGGATACCTAAGGCAGCAACGGCTCTAATTCAGCGACTACTGGTAATTGCACATTGCGGACGTAGTGGACACCGCGGTATTCACGTGATGCATAATCACATTAGCCGACTGTTCTCTATTAATGATCTCAGCAGAATAGTTCGCGATTTCTGTTCAAAGAGCCTACTGTGCTTGCACGTAAAAGGTGGAGTGATTATACCCCGACCATTTAGTGAGACGCATCACACTTTTGAACGCAACAAGACATTACATTGGGATTTTTTGACTTTGGGTGAATCGTTTGGTACTTCACGCTACGTTTTAGTTCTAAAAGATGAAGCTACACACTTTGTTGATCTCGTGGCGTGTGATAGTCCAACTTCGGCAGTAGCAGCTAGCAGTATGCTAGACTGGTACAGTCGCTTTGGTACACCGAAAGTGTGGGTGAGTGACACGGGATCACACTTTAAGAGCAAAGTGATCGCCGAATTAAGCCGAAGGTTGAAAGGACGTCAAGAGTTCATACTCGCGTATACACCTTGGAAAAACGGTTCAGTGGAGCGGGTGAACGGAGATATTTTGCAAGTTTTAAAAGCTCTGGCGTTGGAATTCAAGATTAGTGTGCATGATTGGCCCTACCTGTTACCACTTGTACAATCCAGTATCAACCATTCCCCAGTACCTTCACTAGCAAATCGTGCACCCATCGAATTGTTCACGGGATTTCCGTGCCCCAGTATTCTTACCGGGAGGAAAGGGATGTGTTGCCACGTTATCAGAGCCGAAGCCAAAAACAGAGCAGCTCCTCGTTGAGTTACGAGCAAGAATCAACTGTATGCACAAAGCTGTGAAGGATGTACGTCAACGCCAAAGTAAGCGATACAAAGAACGATCACATTACGAACAGACAATCAACTTCTCAATTGGGGACTACGTATTGCGATCACGTGTCGACGAGAAGCTGTACGCAAATAAGTTGCGTGTAGTGTGGGTTGGACCGTATCGTGTTGTCGGTAGCGCAGACTACTACTTTACGGTAGAACATTTGGTGAATGGTACTACGATGGATGTACATCCATCTCGATTGAAATTTTACGCATATGATTCTCTCAACGTTAATGAAGAATTGATCGACCATATCGCGTCGCAAGGTACTCTGCTTGCAGTAGAAGCGTTTGTGAAACATCGGTTAAATCCAGACATGCAGAGCTATGAGGTCAAAGTCAAGTGGTTTGGTCTCGAACTCATCGAAGACTCCTGGGAACCTATTAAGACGATGAGTGAAGATGTTCCTCAGCTTCTCCTGGAATACGCTACGAGCTCAACAGACGACCTTTTCTTACGCGCTGTGATGAGTGCTATTGATATCAAGAAGCGTCAGCGCTCTAAGTGCAACAGAACCTAAGCAATGACTATATCCTTCGAAAAACGATGATCGAGTTGGAGAGGTGGTTGTATTTATCAGCGAATGACAACGTTCTGGTTTACGATACCAATGGCGAATTTGGATATGACATTAGTGGATACGATGACCAAGTTTCAGCGCGATCGAATGCCTAATGAGAATACAATTCAACATTATAACTTTTCGACTCTATGATTGGTTGAAATACGGATCGACGTGGTCTGATTGGGTCGAAGCTGATTGTCGCAAATCATATGGATAGCTACCTGTAACACTTCAACGCGTTGAAGTTAATGGACTGGCTATGCCCACTTGCGACATGACAAATTCGACTAGTCAACGATCAAATGTACTATGAAGTTAGAGGAGGCAACAAATACGGCGTCCTGCTGCCTCGAATCTTACATACTTGTTTTGAACTCCCGGAAGTGTCCAACCAGCCCTTAGACAGATAGCCGCAGCCGACGGTCCAGACGTAGAGCAACTGCTCATGTAAGTTG